AAGGAAAGGCCTGCTACCCAAGGCCTCTGACAGGAGAGCATCCTTGTCCCAAATGGGCTATAGTTCATTGATTGTATGTTCTAGCTAGCAGATGTAGGTGACAAATGGTGTTCTGTCACTTTCTCTTCTGTTTTTCAAAGGAGACTTCTTATTCTTGAGTATTCACGTTACAGATGCTGATAAACAGCAGTAAAGCAGTGCAGGCTTATAGCAGCCATACCACCTTCCCTTTCCTTTGTGAAATTCAGTTTGTTGAGTAAGTAGGCGAAACGCAAACTTCTGTTTCTCCACCTGAGTCTCCTATGTGCAATATGGGAATAATAATAATTGATCCTACAGCGATAGTGTAAAATTACTGATATTCTATGTGAAGTACTCTGAATATTCTAAAGTACTGTATAAAACAAAGAGATATAATATGGGTTGTTTGCAATGAAGTTGTTCTCTTCCCCTCCCTCTCATCTCCTTGTGCACTCCCTCAAATCTGCTCTGTAGGGTTAGGGAAACCCCTAAAACAGATTGGGGGCTGGATGGTAGGAGGAGAGGGAGGTACAAGGGCACAAGTGGAAGTCCTTACATGACTGGAACAAGTCTGCTGGATACCATCCTATGTCATCACTGCAAATGATGGTCAAATGTCACATTAAGGTGAACTGCTAGTGTAATTAAATAATAGAGTTTAGAAAAGTTGGTAAATCAGCAACTATGAAAGTCAAGAGGTCCTTCTGAAGGTGAATGCCAGCAAAAATTTGAAGCCAAGAATCTACCACTCTTGGTACACTAAATAAACATTAACAAATAGTTGCAGGGATGTATGCGTGGATATCAGTAGTTCATTTCGTAATGACTTTTTGACAAAACGATACTGTGTTATTTCAATAAAAACTGCTGACGTCTGAGGGTATACTCAAAAGTGTATTCAGGAAAGTAGTCACGATGAGTTTTTATTTTGCTCCTCCAACTTTTTAAAAACACCCCACTACCACCATTACTAGCACCTTGAACCCAGTGTTGCTTGGAAATACTAATGCACTAAAAATCAGTGCAGTTTTGGAAGTTTCAGTCCATCATATTGATTTAAAATGACATGCATACATAGACACAAACCTGCTTATTGATCTCAGGAACCATCATGTAAAATTTGGTTACGATATCTTACGAGGTTTCCAAATGCAGAACAAACAATATAGTTACATAATGTGTGGCTGCATTTTCCACATCACATGCCTTTTTTAGAACTTGAAGATTTATTGTTCAGAAGTATTAATGGTTCTTATGTATCACAAACAATTCTGCAACAGTTTAGAAAACTGAAATACATCAACTTCTTAGAACAGTTCTGACTACAAATTCTGCATCAACTTAAAACAATTAGTGAATAAAATATGGTTCTAGATTGGGGTATTTCCCCATTTGATTTCACTATTAAACAGTGTGTATATTTGGTGGGACTACTACTACTGTAGCTTTCCAGTGTAGTAGTTGTGGTCCCACCACGAATGATAAAGCTGAATTTCACAGACCACCTGAATGGAGCTAATAAGACTACCAGAGGCTCACAGAACACCATCTGAGAACCTCTGACACAAAGATTATCCAAGATGATTGGATTGAATTATAATCGCCTTCACAGCAGTTACTCCTGTAACTATGGATTTACACTGGGGCATTGTTTCTTGCGAGTTCCCAGCCACTATGTCAAGACTACTCCAGTCTCTAATGCGTTAAGAGCTATGAATACCAGTTGTGGCATCTGCTTCACTTTTCTTGTGTCCTGATCTTATGAGTTATGACCACCTGTTATCTAATATCATTTGATACCTATCCTCCAGGATTAATATTCCTTGTTTTGAGGCTGCCTTCATGAACAGTCGCCCACTGCCTGGACCTCCTATGAGTCTCTCCCTTTGCAATTGTTGACCACTTGTGACCTCTTTAGGCAACTCTGCTTGTCAGTAAATTTCTGAACAAGCTCATCCTGGTTCTGTTAAAGGTTGTCATACCATGACCCACCTTGAGACTGTTTTCAGTCTTCACTTTTCTTCAACTGCCACACATAGCCTTCCTTTTGAATTTTTTAAAAAAAAGAATAGCGAAGTAATAGTTTCTGTGAGTACGTCTACAGCTTAAAGTGTAAAATTAACTATTCTCTCCTCCTTCATCCCTGTAATAAAACCTGGGAGTTGTAATGCCAGAGTAGTGCCAGGACCTCTGAGACACAATTCCCTCATATTTCTGTGAAGCTAGAATCTCCAGAGGACCTTAGCATCATCCATAACAGTTTAAGGTGGCAATGCTAAGTACCTTACCTGGGAGTAAATCTCATTGAACGTATTGATTTAGGGTCACTTCTGAGTAAATAAGGATGATATGTTTACACTTTGTCGTTTAACAAAATAATAGCACCACAGACACATGTGAAGATGCTCTTCCTGTTGCATCACCATCCTTAGCAGATACAAGTATGGAAACCCCATGATGAAATTTTAAAAACTGTAGGAATGATGCATAGGTATATTCCAGATACTTTGAAATACTATTAGTGTTAGATGGGGGCTTCCATGTCAACGTACTAATATTTACACATGGAAAACAAGACATTTCCACGGAATTACAACATGGATTGCTACTGTTAAGTAAACCCTGGTAATTCTACCAGCCCTATAGGGAACAGGCACACTTTTCCCCTAAAAAAAATGTGTTTGTGGAGTTAGTTAATTCCAGTGTTCTTTTTCTGTTCATAATATAGCAGATCTGCCCTCTAGTGATGAGTGTACTTTATTTATTTATTTTACTCCTGCCAACGTGCTGGAGGCAACACTGCTAAGAAAACACAGAAAGGGTTGTTGTTGTTGTTTTACAAAGGTTGAAACTACAATAAAACACTTTAATAAATTCCTTCTCACATTTCTTTGCATAATGCCCATTGCCATTGTTCACAAGTTACATTTGCCCCACTTTAAATGTCACCAGAATAATACAATTTATTTCTCAAAATTTTGAGGCTAAGGTTCTTAAAAAAAGAGATAGATAAGTGAGAACTGAAAGGTTGGGAGGGAACTGAATTATATGCAATACTTACTTTTCCTTCCAACCCTAACTCAAGGCTAGACCAAGACATTTTGCTACCTGAAACAAAAGTACACGATGACATCCCTTACAGCAGCTGCTATAATCATAGATTTATAAGGGACCCTGAGGATTATCTAGTCTAACTCCCTGCAATATAAGAATGTGCATAATATTGGCATTATGCCTCTTCTTCAATTTCTAAATCCCAATTTGATCCCCACCAAATGTTTTTACAGAGATATCTTTGATCACAAGGCAGACAATACCCAGGACCCCAGGACTGGCTCTGCTTAACCTGTACAGGACATACCACGAATCAGAAACAAAGAACTTAGAACCAATTTGTTAACCGCGGCAAGGACGGCCATTGCCAGGACCGGTGGTATAGGGTGATCTGGCAGGTAGCATTATTGGGAAAATTGACATGAAAATTGAAGATAGCAATGGGGAAATATAGCAATTTTTATGCAGTCTGGGGTGACTTTGCAGATTATACAAAGAATGAGGCATATAGCCTATGGCCTACAGCACAGTTTGGCTTGCATGAAGCACATATTTTAATCATTTTTTCTCCTCCCCTCTTGCTTTTGTATAAACCCTGCAGACCACTGATGCTGATACAATAACTTTTTAGCTGTGGACAACCATTCAAGTGATGGTGGCCAATATGTATTAATTTGTGTTTGTTATACTCTTTGACAAAGTGCTGTAGGGTATTCATAGATACCCTCTATATGTAGTTGGTTTATCTTTGTTTAAAATGTTTTTTTTTAGGTTTTTTTTAAGAAAAAGTGACAACTTTCACCTGTTGTTGCTGTTTCAACACTCAAGTTTTGCCTCTGACCACAAAGACTGTTTCATAGCTGTCAACCTTCCCTTTTTTTGCGAGAAATTCCCTTATTCCAGTGCCGTTTCCCACTGCTATCCCGGATTGTTCGATATCCCGTAGACTGTCCCTGGGACAGGTGAGGCTGCTGGTCCCTTATTTTTGAGGCTGCTGATCAATTATTTTCAAATCTGAAAGTTGACAGCTATGGACTGTTTAGCTATGGTGGCTAACTTGAGAAGAATCCCTTTAAAAGATATTCTATATCCTGTGCCCGTGAATTCCATAAATTAATCGCAAATCCTCTGAATAAATTTGTCAGTCCTAAAGTTAATGCCAATCAACTTTACTGGTTCCCTTCCAGTTAACCTCATGGCTACAGCTAAAAAGATACAACTTGTCAAGATCCTGAATACAAACATAATTCTGCAATTCCACTTATTTCAGTGGGAGTTACGCGCACTTCGTAACTCTAACCCAATATTAAAGCCCGATCGCGTGCACGGTTAGACGACCCTTCAATGCCACCGATTTCCAAATTCTGCATAGGAACGGACTCGACTGCTCCATTTTCACTCCTTCCGAAAATAACCCCGTGGACTCAAAAGAAATCCCTGCGTAGGAATTTCACCGCGTCCGCCGCAACTATCTTAACCAGCACCATCAAGTCTCCTTCCGCCTCGCTCGGCCTCACTCCTGCAGGTGGTTAGACGATACGATTCCGAATCCTTCCGCCGACGCTACTACCACCCTGCTTCCTCCCATCATGCTTTGCAACTGCGTAGAGACGCGGGACTGGAGCGGGGCATTCAGTCGTCGTCCCCCGCTAACTTTGGCCGAATACTTTACGTCTCACCCCACCCCCCTTCTCCGCGCAAACAGCGGCTTCTTTCCGCGGAGAGAACAGAAAAGCAGACCGAACCAAGGAAGGAGGCGGGGGGGGCAGTAGCGCCGTGCGAGGGAAGTAGTCCCGGCGCCAGGGAAAGCGCTGCTGCAGGGGCAGTTGCTCGCTCGCTCTCGCTCTCTCGCTGGGCTGGTAAGTGTGAATAAGGCGGCGCGAGGGAGCGCGCGGCCGAGGGAGGGGGAGGAGCCGTGGGTGAGTGGCAGCGGTTGGCTCGGCGCTGCGGGCGGCTCTGCCTTCTCGCTAGGACGAGGCGGGAGGCAAGGAAGGGGCGAGGCGGCGGCTCCTCTCATTTCCCTGTCCGGCGCCATTTTGTAGCGCAGCGAAGCAGCAAATAAAGAGCGGGGCGGGAAGCGAGCGTGGTGGTGTTGGCGCGGCGGCGACGGCGGTGTTGGCGGCGGCCTTCTCCAAGCAGAGGTGCTGCTGGGCCCGCTTGATTGATGCGACACGAGCCCCGGCGTGGAGGCACCCGCTGCAACCGGGAGACGACGACGACGCCTCGGGGCCGCCACGGGCGGGAGGTGAGTGGCGGCCTCTCTCCGCTTCCTCGCGCGCGGGCCGCATCCGCCCGCCGCAGTCCCCGCTACTACGGCTCCTGGAGAGACCCGAGGCTCGCCGGCCCTAAGCAGGAAGGGACATCCATCCTACGGGCGGGGCGGGGAGCGCCTTCCCGGACTAACGTAACTCGAAGCGGGGGGGGGGCTTAAGCTCGGCGCCTTTTCCTGCGTTACGGGCACCCGTTACGGGCATTTCCTCATAGCTGTCGTCACCCCCTCAAAAAAAAACCTCCACACACTCCCCCCCCCAAGATAGCTTGTTTGGGACGGGCATCCTCCGCTCGCCTGTCTTTCTTGTTTACTATGGACCGGCCTTCCTAAAGGCATCGTCCTTCGTAGTCAGGAGCGTGGATACCCTGGGATTCTAAAATACTCCTTAGATGATTTCTTAATTACGAGGAGGCCTTTTATCCGTAAGACCTGAAAGGGCTTGGCGACACGTTTTTTATTTCTACGCCATTTGGATAGAGGGGGAATCGGAAGCCAGCCGTAGATGTAGATGCACACAGAGAGACATTCCCCACGCAGACTATGAAAGGTTATAAAGCTTTAGACTGCACTCCTCCTCTGCATTGGAGACCGCGCCACTGTAATAAATGGGGCTTCGAAGTAAATAAGGATGGGATTGGACTGCAAGTCACATGGATGGGTTATTTAGGCTCTATTTGGCTCGCTAGAAAGTAATGGGTTCCTCAGATTGCAGGCATCACTACTTGGTGCAAGAGAGAAAGCAGGTTTGAAGTGCCGCTGCTTAAAACAGCGATTTTATAAATAATTTAAAGTCAATAATTAGATTTTTAAAAAACAAAACAAAACCCTGTTTGTTAACTTTTCCAAGCAAATGTAGGTTACACTTGTTTTCTAATCAAAGGTCTGTTTGAAAATATGGGTTTGGCAGTATACTTTGCCAAATTGTAAGACTAAGGTGCAAACTTGCTCAGTGATATCAATTTATTGAGAGTTCGGTTGCTCTTTGGGGAACAAAACAAGTACAGTATATGCTGTAACATCTCAAATGTTACAGATGCATTTCCAGCGTAGACTTTGTAGGCTGACTACTGGAAATATTTCTGTTCAAGCCAATTTATAACCTTTGAGAACAAGAGACTTTTACACAATGTGTCAGATTCTAAGGAGTCTACTGGGTGCCCCCTTCCCAAGGTAATTTTCAGGTGCAGCTTACAATGTCTGGATTGATTGTCATAACCAAAAATTGATATCTGTCACAACTCGCCAAGAGTGAGGTTTTCATTTGAGGGCCAATAAATATGTGTTGCCCATGGGTAAAGTTTCCTTATGCAACTGTTTTTTGATGTTCATGTAAAAACCACCATGCAAAGTGATCTGTTCACATTTAGAGGCACCATACTAATGACAGGCTATAGTTGCTCAGGCTACAGTTCACTGGTATACGAAGTTAAAACGTGAATGAGTTGACTCTGGAAGTAAATGCATTCATTTATACATAATAGGATGTGCATGGAACACTTACACAGACAAGCACTTTCCTCATAAGTGCCACCATATTTGTTTCAGCCTGGATTGCTCTGTTGCTTGGAGATGGATGCTTAGCTTAGATCAGAAGTGGGTCAGGGATGAGAGAGTTTCTTCATAATACACTGAAAATAAAATCTAGTTACATGACAGCACAGTTGTCTATTTTCTTAAATACTATGAAAACTGACAAAAGATTTTACATGTGTGGCTTGACAGAATCATAAAAGTTAAGATGACATACTTCCGTGTTTCAATTAAATACCTTTATATTTAACTTACATTTTGATGTTGAAACAGTTTAATTTGGTTATTTAACCAACTATAGTTAATAAAATGTATGCAAAGCCGGGGAAATAATAATACTCACATGTCCTTGCATTCATGAGGTTGTTTGGGTATGAATATGGGGTTTGTTACTTTTGGAAGGGTATCTAGTACAGATCTGATCATGTTCCGAATGTGGAGTATGTGCACTGAACACTGCAGCTACAATGACTTAAGAGGGATTGATGCTTACTTGCAATAGAAAAAAATGGAACTTATTGAGGATCACAGGGTGGTGTACAACTTCACTAAAGCCATTGGCTAATATGAGTTATAGGTATGACTTCTTTCTATAGCCATCTTGAACACAGATCTGATAATACAAAGTCTGAGTTCACAAATCCTGAAAGAACAATTTGTTCTTAAATTGATCAGTTTTACACAATAATATGAAGCCATGAATAAAGACTGGTTTTGTGAGTTACCTATGTAGAAGGGATAGAGACACTCGTGTGTGTGTGTGTGTGTGTGTGTGTGTGGAGATGAATGTGGCTCTCTAGGCCTCTATTTGGCCATCAGAGCTCTCCTCAAGTGTTTTTGACTGTCATTAATGTATTCTTGAAGTCTGATAATGCCTGTTGCTTACCTGAATAAAGAACAAGAGGTATGTGAGTATGTGCAGATGCTAGCCCAGTGTACAAAGGCAAAATGTATATTTATTCCTTCTCTCACTTTTGCTTCAGGCCCTGACCACCACTGGCATGTAGCCCTCAGAAGGTTGCCCAGAGATATGGCGCCTTAAGACTTTAAAATAAATACTGTGATGAGTCTAGCTGAGGGAGACTTGGGGATTTTAAAACATATTGATTGCTTTTAGAAGTACCTGCTCTTTGCTAATAATTTAAGGAAAATATGTTATCCTATATGTATTATCAACATTTTAATCTGGGTGTTTCAAGACTCATTCATGATTGAATAATTCCCAAATAAAGTTGCAAAAGATTGATTGATTATATTTCTATACTGCTTTTCATTCAAATGAATCCCAAAGCAGCATACAAACAATACATAAAAATAACATAATAGAACATTACAAATGCAGAATAAATCTTATAGAATACTTAACAAATCAATGAAACAGTTACAAATCATCAGTAAAATAATTACCATCTATGAAACACTATTAACAAAACAACTAAAAAAATAAGCTAAGCATCAAGTAAGATAAGTTCAGATTTTAAATTCAGCACAACATAGTGGTTCCCTGACTGTTTCCGAGGTACGTATAGTGCCAGTTAATTGCAGGAATAAATTCAAAAGTGATGAACCAATATTTAGCTAAAGCTTTTGTACCTACATATATTTGGATTCCCATACCTTTGCATGCCTTTTCCTGAAAAGGTCTTGCCAGAAAAACTTTGGAAGAAGGACACGGTATAGCTGGAAACTATGTCAGTGAAGATATGAGACAATAACTGATGACTAGATAATTGGTATCAGTATTATTTCCAAAGATTTTGGGCAATAGAGACATAGTAACATGCATTAGATATGGAAAGCTTATAAATGTCAGAAAAAGTATTTGAATACAAAATAATAGTTTTGTTAATTGGACAAAACTCAGAAACCCAGCAGGGTCATAAGGTAGAGTACACATTTTAAAAAATTAAAAAGTCATGGATTTCAGTAGTATTTCATTCATAACGTTTTCTCAGACTTTGCAGCAGATATGTATAAGCAGATACCTAGTACTGCTGTAAAAATGTTTAAACCAGTAACATAACATGTAAACCCTTTCTGTGCTGTGAAATGAGCTTTCTGCTAGCTGTAGTTACAGTTACACTCAACACGGTAGGTTGGATCCATATATTTGCTTTCATGGACAGAAAGAACCCAAGATCCAGCAGAGGCTCTTGCTGGAAAAAGCAGGAGGAGACAGTTTCAGCAGAGGAATTCCTGTAGCTGCCATCACCATCTCCCAAGGACCCTCTGACCCAGTTTTTCAGGAGGGACTGGAGAAGTTGGCTCCCCACCTCCTCCAATGGGAGAATCTCTTGGGTGGTGGTCTGCCCAGGGGTAGTCTGGATCTAATACTTAGAGCCCAATTCTTCATAATTCTGGAAAGTACATAATGCTGTGTTCAGTGGACTCACTTCAGTTGGAGTGCATCATTATTTTCAGGGGGCATAAAAATGCTGGCTATGGTAGTAAGAGGACCAAATAATGATAGTGCTTGTTTCTTTTATGCAGAATTCACAATGACTAATGAAGAACCACTTCCGAAGAAGGTAAGCTTGAAAGCTGTAGCATTTGTATTTATTTTTCAATATTGCATGAAGAAATAGTTGAACTTGATTATTTTTGTTCTGCAGGTTCGCCTCAGTGATACAGACTTCAAGGTTCTACCTAGAGAGGAGTTGATCTTAAGGTAAAGTGATAGGCTACCTTATACTTAAAAATTATGCATCTCTTAACTGTTTCATTTTGAATAACTTCCATTTTTATGGTAACAGGGAACTAAAAAGCAATTTTAAGTTTAATGAGGTAGAAAGATTAACACTAAACCTTTTCCTACTGGCTGTGGAGAAAAAGTACATTATTTATCCAAAGGCAAGTAGCTGGAAATTCTGCACTTAGAATGCAAAAAGGAAAAAAGTCATTCGATATACTTTCAGACTGTATAGAGAACTCCAGAGGAAAGAATGTAAGAGTATGACCAAGAGTCTGCACCTTGGCAGTCTTGGGTTTGTAACAGAAATAAACTCTCCATGTCTTTCATATATGAGGCTAGAAACTTGTTTTAAAACTGCAGAAATGAAGGATGGAAAGGTGCTTAGGGTGGTGCTAGATGTGAGATTGTCTATAGCTCATTGTTTTTGGTTGGAAAGAGCTTAAAATATTTAATGAATACCCTATTGTGTGTTTAAGTGTGATCTTGTCTGTACTCCCACTTTGCGCCAAGCATGCCATAATTTAATCATTTAAGATTCAAAAAACAGCTATTTTCTTCGTGATCATAGGTGGCAAGCAGTTATGAAAGCTATATGATGCCTTAAAGCTTTGGAGGGCAGTTAACTATTAAGACCTTAACTGTTCAGTGACAACTCAATTGCAAGCAATTATTGATAGGTGATATTATAAAGAACAATAGTTGTTTTAAATCTGACAGGCAGTTTCAGTTGGTCTTAGATTTTCTGTTACAGCCTGTTCAGAAAAGTATCATGAAATCGAGCTTGCACCTTTACAGAAAGTTAACGCTTAGTCAGGGACTGATCCACAAACCTTATTTTGAATGATAGAAGTTCCCTTTACAAAGGTTTCACTTGTTATCTATCTGTACTTAAGAGTTGCATGACGTAACTAAGTTAACTGGCGTACCAGTTTATCATAGTGTTCACTCAGGTATTCTTAAGTAACTATCTCTGATGTACATTGTCTAACAGAATTGGTGTGTCACAGGCCACAATTTTAAGTCATTGGTAACAGTGTTTACTAAGCTTAAATGGGGTTTATGTTTTAAAAAAAACCAACAAAGAAACAAAACCCAGACGTAAATAAAATATACACATAGAATCATAGAATCATAGAGTTGGAAGAGACCACAAGGGCCATCGAGTCCAACCCCCTGCCAAGCAGGAAACACCATCAGAGCACTCCTGACATATGGTTGTCAAGCCTCTGCTTAAAGACCTCCAAAGACGGAGACTCCACCACACTCCTTGGCAGCAAATTCCACTGTCAAACAGCTCTTACTGTCAGGAAGTTCTTCCTAATGTTTAGGTGGAATCTTCTTTCTTGTAGTTTGGATCCATTGCTCCGTGTCCGCTTCTCTGGAGCAGCAGAAAACAACCTTTCTCCCTCCTCTATGTGACATCCTTTTATATATTTGAACATGGCTATCATATCACCCCTTAACCTCCTCTTCTCCAGGCTAAACATGCCCAGCTCCCTTAGCCGTTCCTCATAAGGCATCGTTTCCAGGCCTTTGACCATTTTGGTTGCTCTCCTCTGGACACGTTCCAGTTTGTCAGTGTCCTTCTTGAACTGTGGTGCCCAGAACTGGACACAGTACTCCAGGTGAGGTCTGACCAGAGCAGAATACAGTGGCACTATTACTTCCCTTGATCTAGATGCTATACTCCTATTGATGCAGCCCAGAATTGCATTGGCTTTTTTAGCTGCCGCGTCACACTGTTGGCTCATGTCAAGTGAAAATGAAACATAACTAGCAGCAGCTGGTGTAAGCTTCCTAATCTATCCTCCTATCCTGCCATCCCTTTTGTACAAAAGTATTCCAGGTAACCCATAGGAGGAGGTGAGAAAGTGGCTGGCTCAAATTAATGTTAAAGGTTTTTGGTGGTCTTTTCAGAAGTTGTTGGTGTGTTAGAAGTGCCTCTACTAAAGTTAAATGAATTCAGCAGATCTATGAGTGGGACTGGTGTTGGGTTTCCCATTGGGTATCTTCGTTAAGCCGGCACTTATTGTCTGCAGTAGTTTGGTTAACTGCAGTAAATGGAAACCCTTGCTCAAACTGATACTGTTGTAAGTGCTGTGGGTGCATCTGATAATTAAATACTTACTTTTGTTTCAGGAGGCTTAAGCAGGATTTCTGTAATGCTATCATAAAATCACAGTGCTGTGACCTTGCCTGTAGCCATCATGTATGTTTTGTGGTCTCCTCTGCAGTCACAGCTAAAGACCAGTTTGAGAACTATGGTTTTAGACCAGCCTTCACCAGCTGGTGCTGTCCATATATTTTTGGCTTCCAATCCTATCATTCTTGATTATTGACTGCTGGTTGCGATGGAGTAGTTTAAAACATGGAGGGCACCAGGTTAGGGTATGCTGTTCTTGAAAAACATTAATATAGAATGAATGATAAAGTGTATCATATTTTGTGTATATGCACCTGATCATTTGTGGAATTCTTTAAGCCAATACAATGGGTTCTTGCTGTAAAATCAGGTATGGGAAACCTGTGGCACTCCAGATATGGTCGTATGCTTCCTATCATAGGGTTGTTGGTTCTGCTGTCTGAGGCTGAGGAGAACTGGGGTCCAACAAAATCTTGGCGAGCCACAGTTTCTCTGTCAGTACCTGCTTAAGCCCATTATACAGATACAGATAAAATTACTTGAGGGGTTTTTTTAATCTTTCCTTTGCAATCAGATTTGTTTGATTTGTTAACATAAACCCATTCAGTCAGAAAACATCAGTGTAAAGTGGTATTAAAGTAAGTGTTGTTGAACTCCTCTGTATCCTTGGGATTTGAGTTCAGGTTATTTTAAGCTATTTGAATCTCAAAATTGTCCCTCTGGAAAGAGAAGCTTGCCTTTACATGTCCACCTTGGGATTAATACTGGGAACAACAATTGGGCACCAAAGAATAGTTGTACAGGTTACCATGCGATACCTCTAGAGTGACAAGCAAGCTTTTTTCTAAACACACCCAAGAGAGCGCTATCTCAAGTATGAGTTTAATTATTGTTGACTGATCTCAAACAAAATGCAGTTTGTAGAAAAGTTAAGTTCTTTTCTCCCAGTTGGGGTCTTGGGAAACTGCAAGCCATTATTATTGGTGTGTTTGTACTGGCAGCAGAAAGTTTTTACCAGTTTTAGGACAAAGCTAAATACCAGACTATAGTTCTGTTACCCTCAATGTGCTGTCTCTGTCATCCGTAGATGTTAATAGATCCACAGCATGAATTTTGTTTGTGGGACACTGCAATCACAGTAATGGTCTAATCCCCTCTAAGTGCCTCTAAGTCCTTTAAACATGGCAACTGCTTTTCAGCTTTCTAGTTGTTATGGAGGTTATGTAATCTTCTATGAACTTAATATCCTTGGTTAATAGTTAAAACATGCTATGTTGGTGTCTCATGAATTTAACTCTACAAAAGCTTTTGCCTATATATATATAGAGAGAGAGAGTGTGTGTGTGTTATTTTTTAAGATGGCACAATATTTTGTTGCAGGAGTAGGCTAACTTGGGCACCTAAAAAATAAATAAATCATTGCTTCTCACAAGTAGTCCCTAGAAATAGAAATGAAGGGTGGCATTCCGCGAAGTAGTTTAATTAGTGAAGGGACTTCTGGCTGTGCTTTGGAACTTACCCTCCCATTTCTCTCCTCATACACTCACAAAATCTTTTCAGGGAGTTCCAGCAACCCTCTGAAGCAAATTTGAGGAGGAATTAGGGGAAGAGGAGAGGGAGGGGGAGTTCCCTTATTATAGACTACTGGTCCTACCTGTTGTTGACAGCTGACAGGAAAAAGGAAGGTAGAAAAAGGGTAGGAATCTCCTAATTGATCTTTGCTGTGTTTGTGCAGCTTTGCTTGCTGTAGAGGAGCTATTCCTTTCCCCAGTTAAATTCTTGTATGTGGGTTTAGTTGATTCAATGGGGGAGCAGAAGCAAACAAATTTGATGGTCAAGTTGTTTTGCTTAGACAAAAAATTGGTTTAAGGTCTTTATAGGCTCCCACTAAAACTTTGCTCTTTGCTTTGCCATTCAACAATAGCTAATGATGTAACTGGATTGAGAGAGTCAGAAGAAAAGCTGAAGCAGCAACAGCAAGAATCTGCTCGAAGAGAAAATATCCTAGTGATGCGGCTGGCAACTAAGGAACAAGAGATGCAAGAGTGTACTGTAAGTGAAGCTTTTCAACTTGTTGCAGATGAAGGCGTCTATTGATATATTTATTTTTAGCTTAACATCCTGTATGTGGAATACTATTAACATCCTGTGGTGTTTGCTTCAACTATCCTGTTGCATGAGTGGTTTTTTTCAGAGTCTTTTTGGTCAAAAGGCCACATGCCTGGCAGAATGAAAACTTTAATGAATCATGATGCCTTCATCTTTTTAAGTGACTGAGAACTACCCTTGATTAGTAGCAGACCTAAGCAAAACGTAGCTACTTTTAAAATAACAACAGTAAAATGCTGTGCACATTTAATTCTGCTGTGATGCATAGGTAGCTGAAACAACTTCTGTGTAGCCAAATTGTGGTGGTGTATGGCAAAGATGACCCAGCTGTTCTGATCTATATATGTCTTCTCTACTTCCAAAATGAGTTAATGGAGTCCCAAAGATATTTCAGGAAGCAGGCTCAGTATTCACTATTGTCTTCTGTACCTAATAGTAAGAGGAACAGCACTTTTCCTTGTGAATGACTTCCTTCAAGTCATTTGTTGTTTTACTTAATTCACTTAATTTAGGTGTACCTGTATAAATGTAGAAGCAGAGCTTGGCTTCCCAGTTTGTGAATAGTTCTAGCAGACAAGACTAGGATATTGGTTGGCTTAGGGAAATATCACTGTGGTTAGGGAGGTATTTCTAGCTATATGCCTATTTATGCTGCAGAATCTCAAACTTATCAGTCCATAGCTTGGGAGTTGATACATTTATGTTCATTACTTTTTGTGCAGTTTACTGCATAAATATTTTCAGATCAGAGATTGGCTAGCAGTTGCTTTGGCCACCTTTTCTGCAAGCTGTATTTCATACTTTTTGCCAAGCTATGTGGTTCTTAGCACTGATGTAGCTCCTTTAAAGCACTTTGAGATGGGGATTCTAGAAGAAGACAAAAGTTACTCTGATTTAGAACTTCCCAATTGATACCACAGTACCAGTGTTCATTGAGTAATAAATATTGGCAGAAGGAAATGTGTTAAGTAGAATTTTCTCTAATGTAGTATTCATTCAAATAACAATGAATTTTGAAGAGATCTGTCCTGCAAGTTCATATTTCCTCTAAGATAGGTAAAAACAAATGGTTAAAAAAATTCTACCCCCCAAAAAAGGATCAAAGTCACATATTTATTGGCCAGTCAAATGTCTCTTTGATGTTACCTGCCTTTTTACAGAAGTGCATGCAAAGATGAAAACTACTGCCAATGTTAAAGAGAGAACTTGATGTAAGCCTACTAGTACAACTTAAAATTGAGTTGAGAACAACTTATAGCTCTGGCTTTTGAGGAGCTTAAAGTGTAAGGCAGCATTTTTCCATCTCCACCAAGCTAAGCAGTTGGCTCCTTACCTCTCTCGCCCTGACCTAGCCACTGTGATCCACGCGACGGTCACCTCCAGACTGGATTATTGTAACTCGCTCTACGTGGGGCTGCCCTTGAGACTGACCCAGAAACTCCAGCGGGTGCAGAATGCTGCAGTGAGACTCCTTACGAGGTCTTCGCTGCGAGATCACATTCACCCGGTGCTATACCAGCTGCACTGGCTCCCGGTGGAGTACAGGATCAGGTTTAAGGTGCTGGTTTTAACCTTTAAAGCCCTATACGGCCTAGGACCTCGTTCCTACGGGACCGCCTCTCCTGGTATGCCCCACAAAGAAACTTACGGTCTTCAAATAAAAACATCTTGAAGGTCCCAGGCCACAGAGAAGTTAGGCTGGCCTCAACTAGAGCCAGGGCTTTTCCGGCTGTGGCTCCGATCTGGTGGAACACTCTGTCACAAGAGACCAGGGCCCTGCGGGACTTGACATCTTTCCGCAGGGCCTGCAAGACAGAGCTGTTCCACCAGGCCTTTGGCCAGGGCACAGCCTGACTCCCTCCTTTGGCAATCTTCGCGGAGCTCTGGCCCAATGGTTGCCAGTGGCTTGAATTAATTAATTTTATAATGAATGATTTTAGAGTGTTGTTTATGCTGTACTTTTGTACTGTTTTATTGTTGTTAGCCGCCCTGAGCCCGGCTTCGGCTGGGGAGGGCGGGATATAAATAAAATTTATTATTATTATTATTATTATTATTATTATTATTATTATTAAAATTACAAATAAAAGGCATATGTAGATTCATTTATTTTATAAAATGTGTATACCGCTTGATTGCGGTGGATGATCTGAAGGTGCTATGGGTTAAATTTTGGGAGTAGTTCCTGGAGGTTGATACAGTGGTGGTAAAAAAAAAATCCTAGGAACCCAGTATGCTGGTGGAACAAACACAAAATTGCCCTGTTCTTTGGATCCATTCTAAGTATCCAAATTCTGTGCATTCCTGTCAGTTTCGGTGTTCAGTTGTATTCAAGAAAATGTTAAATTATGAGATCCTTATTGTATGGGGGTATCAGACTGAAATGGGTTAAGTAGGCTCATGAAAGCTTATAAATGCCAATGTAATCATTTTGCCTCCTTTTATGCAGAATCAGATCCAGTACCTCAAGCAAGTCCAGCAGCCAAGTGTTGCTCAACTGAGATCAACAATGGTGGACCCAGCCATCAACTTGTTTTTCCTAAAAATGAAAGCTGAACTGGAACAGACTAAAGACAAACTGGAACAAGCCCAAAATGAACTGAGTGCCTGGAAATTTACACCTGATAGGTAAACAAAACATACTCCCCAGTCAAGACTTCCCTGACAGAGAATGCTTTGGTGGGACAACCACGTACTCGTTTCCACACCAAGACTCAGACATTTTGAGCCAAAAGCCACATTCTTATACTGTCCAGCTTGTAATGCTTAATGTAAAACTTATCAGATGAACCTTGTGTTTCAGCTTTTCCCCCCCTTTGCTTCAGAGGCCTGACAGCGTCGGACTATTCTGAAGAAGTGGCCACCTCAGAAAAAGTGCCCTTTCTAGAACATGTAGACATTTGTGAAGTGGTTCTGTTTGAAGAAAATAGAGGGAGAAGCAGAAGTCTAAAGTCTGTGGCACACTATGTCTACAGACAGTTTGGAGGAGAACCTAGAGATTTTAAATCATGAATTGATCATGTCAAATTCGAGTAAAACATTAAAATGGAATATGCTTCGCTCTTAACCCTAAACCTAGTGACTTAGAGACTGATTAAGTCAGTTTTGCCAATAAGACTGTGGACTTCCTCCTTGTTCACTGAACTGCTGGGTCAAAACTCAATGAGGTGAATTTTGTTTAAATCACATTTGGTAATCGGCTTTGAATAGCTGTGAGAACACGCACACAGTCAGTGTTGATTTTTCCTAGCATTTGGGTTCCATAGGACTTCAGTGAACCTTTTCATGGCTTTGAATAACAAATTGTTCTGTGGATGGCTGGCAATATGTGAACTCCTAAATCTAGTACTGTACGTATAGTTGCAATTTAATTACATCTTCCTAACCTTGTTGAAGCAGTTGTGTACGTCCTGGATCTCAACTAGTATATCTAACCCCAAACTAGTTGTGATTCTTTTACTGCCCTTATCCATGCAGAAGTGCCATTCATAATTTTTATCCTGAGACACTATGTGCAGGCTATACAAGGTGCTGCACTAGTAGTTACTTTCAGAGTTTGTTTGGGGCATTTGCATTCCACTGTATAACTAGTTTTTGTACTGCAGCCTTCTATAAAATGTGCCTTGAAATAGTTGTACTGCATAGTTCAGGGGACACTGCTGTTCGTACTACTGTATGGGAAGCTTTCATGTAGTATGAATATAAATATGTAGAACAGGCTGCTACTTGATTTTGTCCTGTTCTCTGGAAGAGAGATGATGTTGAAGCAAATTGCATGCATCCCACTGGTTGGCATCAGTTCAGAAGAGTTGATACTTTTTGATGCCTCGTCATGTCCCAAGTGATTTCCAGGAATGGTAGTCTGGGACAGTTTAGTGTGCATTCTTGAGGTCACAGTGGAAAGACTGCCGAATATATTTGAACCATAATAGTCAATATATAATAACAGAAAGAAAATTAAGGACTGTTACATAGTAGGTAAAATATAAGAACAAATATTTTAATGTTCCACTTCCAGCATTCCCAATGCAGTATTGGTTGAGTTAAATGAAAGATACTTCTAAGAAGTACTTTTTAGCTCTGCTTTAGATAATTATTGCAGCATGTGAAATGTGGTAGTATATGAACCTTTGTCCATTATTGAGTCTACATCGAAAGAAAACCTTGAAGCAAAAACAAATTGCATCTTTCAAACATCTTGGGGTGATGCTATGGAAAATCTTTTAAAGGTCTAGCATCAAAACAGAGGTAAGACCAACAGAGAAAACAGCAAAAACTGTCTTAATATGTTGCAACTGACTTTGTAAAACTTGTTAAATGTATAATCAAAAATCATTTCTCATAGGTATGTTTTAATTGTGGGATGCCATACAGATTATTTGTGAACTTCAGCTTAATCAATTCATGTTTGGATAGAGGATGGTGACTTCAAATGTTTTTGGGTTCTTAAGGTGACATGAACCTAAGTATGAACTTACTTCGTTTTCACTTCAAATAGACATCTGGAAAAACTAATTTTTGCTTGATTTTTAGAAAAATGAGTATCTTAGTCTTGAACAGGTCTTTGATATATACATATTTCCACTTACTGTGAAATCGCGTCCCTTTAAACATTTAAGTTTTATTTGATATGCCTTGCAATTGACTTTGCTACACATTTTAAAGGTCTAAGGGGTGGGATCTTAATTTATCCCTTTCAAGAAATATTTTCATCATTTGTCTTCCATATGTTTTGCCAAAATTTCTCTTTGACTTGATACTTGAAAGTACTAGTTCACTCTTCTACATATTAATGTGGTTCTGAAGGGTCAAAGGAACAGTTCTTGTATTTGCACATCACTTTTTGTGGATCATTGTCTGTGCTCAAGAGCTGACTGTTTCAACAGTGTTTTAAGTATTGTATTGCATTGTCCTTGTTCATAGGATTCCAGATACAGTAGGGGAAATCACTGAATACTATATTTTAACTGTCACTGATACCACACATAGTATCCAATAGTGATGCTAATTATGGGGGTGGCATCATTGAGGCTTCCTAGTTAACAGGAAAATGCTTAAAAATTATAACTTTACCAGAATATTTGATTTGTTAAATAGGTGGTAGTTTTCACTGCAGCAGCATCCTGCAATTCTGTTAGCTTGTTACTGTTGTTGCCATTCTCACCCATTTATAATCTCTTTCTTGACAGAAATAGTTTCTTGATTTTTTATATGAGACAGTAGTTTGGTGTACATGAAAACATAAGCAACAACTTAAATTCCTATGTAGGTTCTTAAAGAGATTATGTTGTGCTGGAGGTGGACATGAAGAATGCATCATGGATATTCTGAAATGGCTGAAATTCTTGAAGGCACAGGCCAAGATCCAAAGAACCATCCTTCAAAGAGTTTGAGGGTTTTGACTTTTTTTTCTTGAACTAAAGCCTCATATAATGCAAGGGATGATTTTGAAACTGAGAAGAGTTTCAGAAATTAATGAGGGCTGTTGTTAAAGAAAATTTTTAAAAATCAGGACCTGTTCAATCCCCTCTTGTATACTTAAAGCAGCTCTTTGGATCCTGGCCATCAGCTTTGTGTGATAACCAAGGGTCACTTCATGCAAATTGTTTTCTGTATTGATCATTGTTTCCATGTAGAAAAAATAGGTATATGCCATAACATGTGATGCATACTGATATGCACTTCAGCACATGCACACTTAGCGTGCGTGATTAGCAGTGGGTTCCATGTATTCAGAACACATGCACATGTCACATTATGGTGTAAGGTTAGTTTTCCTATGTGGAACAGGTTTATGTAGGAAAATGCCTTGTGTGAAGTACCCTTCTATGTCTTGAATTATAGCAGAGAACACTTGCAAACGTTGAACTTTTATTTAGCCACGATTGCAGTATGAACAGGCAAAAAAGCTGAGAATTGGGTGGTGAAACACTTACATATCTGCTTAAAGTTTTTGGGTAGGTGCATACAGATTTGCAAGGAATACATATTAAGGAAAATGAAATGTTAACGTAAACTTGCTGGGATTATAGTAGATCCATATAGGTAAGCTTCAAGAATGTGTGTCCCAGCCAGAGAAAAATAGGTAATGTAAGTGACAGGAACCTTTATAGAGAACAACATATTTTAAAAGGATAATAAATTGTGCAGACACAGTCAGGTTCTAAATTTTGTTCTAATACTGTCTTGCATCATATGTCACATTTTCATAGCTTACCTTGTTCATGAAACTATTAACTGCAATTTTTAAGCCCCCATGATTTTATTTCATACAAATTTTGAAGCTGTATTTGTTTCCTTTAGTTTTGGAATCTTCCTTACATTACTAAGGTCTATAATATCTTAGGTAGAAGTCCCCCCCCCCCCAGCCCTTCTATCAGAAGGGGCTCTTCTGCATGCAAATCATATTCATATCACTGAGCAGTGTATCCTTTTGCTATATGCTATCACATGATGTCTGAAACTGCAGTGTTTCATGTAAAATAGAGCTGCATGTTTTAGTTCGACAAAACATGGAAATGCCTTTTAGTATATGTTGAGTGGTTTTCCTGCACTGAAACAAGATTGCATAAATCCTGGACATGTAAACAAAAGTGTATATATAGCATATTATTTGTGCATTTTTGTGTGAAGTCACACAGAAAGAAAGCAACTAGCTGTCACAGTGCTATAAATTAGATCATGCACATTAATCAGTTATATGCTAAAATATGTAAGACAGTGGCATGATCTAGCTGCTTCTGTTTGTGGAAAGTATATTGTAACTTATTTTGCTAAACACCCTGCAGTGTGCTGCTTAACTCCTGCAGATCACTTACACATAGTGGCCACAGCTCTGTGGACTCGTGGCTATGGTGCTGCTCTGGCAGAGTAGTCTACACACTACGATGACTTACCAGAAATGGTAAGACTGCATTGCAATGTGTTGCATTGCTCATCACAGGAGCAGCATACGTAGCACAACACTGAAAGAGGATTAACATAAATTTCTTGATGAGCCCCTTCTGAATCATATCTCAGTCCTTTGGATTGGATCCAAGCCCATTTAAATGGGACAGGTTGGGTATTATTAAGTCCCATGGATTTTACTCGATCTCTAAGCATGACTAAAACCTCCCCCCCCCTTTATTGGTACTCTGTGGTTGTGTCATTTTTTCCTAAGGTTTTGGATTCTTTTCTGCTCATTTGCCTTCTTGGTATGGCAAGTTTGCCTTTTGTAAAGCATTATGCAACATAATGTTAGAGTCATGCAATTTTGCATATAGTCATGACTAGAGCCTCCAGTATATTGATAAAATGAGATTGTTCATTGCTTGCAAGCCAGATCATTGACTATACTGGGTTCTAGCCAGTGCTAGTCCTGCTCAAAGTAGAGCCATTGAAATTAATGGCCATGATTAACTTAAACCCTTTAATTTCAGTGGGTCTACTCTGATTAGGACTTGGTTGGATGCAACCCATTATGTCCAACACTGCTTTACTTCTCCCACCTCCCCTTCCTTAGAGGCACAACTAAGTTCATTTTCTTTTGAAAATTGCTTCATGCTGTAGTTGGAGTATAAGAACAACAAAAGTCATTTGATCATTTAAAATGTTCAACTGTAGAACTTGCCTTTCAGTTTCTCGGAACAGGGCCAGAAGATCAGCAGACGATGATGGATCAGCCTCTGGTATCTATAGGGAGACTTTGTACAATGACAACTGGCAGTAAGATACTGTAGCGTGACACATACAGGAATACCACTTCAGTAACTACTTTTAAAAAGGGAGATGAGAGAATATTGTCTTCATTTTGTGATAGATGGCTCTTTCCTTTACAGCCAAACAGGCAAAAAGTTAATGGCGAAGTGTCGAATGCTTATCCAGGAGAATCAAGAGCTTGGAAGGCAGCTGTCCCAAGGACGTATTGCACAACTTGAGGCAGAGTTGGCTTTACAGAAGAAATATAGTGAGGAGCTTAAAAGCAGTCAGGATGGTAAGGGTTTTTTTTAATAAAGAAAATAGAAAAAATGCCTTTTATCTGTAGGCTTCACCAGTTAATGTTATGATGCGGGTATTACGTTTCCACTGTGGAGCATGTTTAAACATTATGAATAAAGGGATAATTTCAAGCTCATTTAATCAAATTCCATGGAAGCACAAAAAAAATCAAGCTAGTTTTTCATGAAGGTAAATGTAGTGTGACATGTGAAATAACAGATTGACTAGAATATGAAGGAATTCCACTAGGAAATAGTCATGTGTGACTACTTGCATATGTGTGTGTTTGATACTTTGCCCTCCAAGGGTGCTGTGGACTATATTCTAAAACAGAAGCCTTCTTTGCTGCACAGCAGAAGACTAATTTGAAATTGAGGAAAGTACAACAGCATTATGTGATAAAACATGGTGGTCTGCTTTTCATAGTAAAGCAACCCAAGCCCCTTTGGGTGGCAGACAGGCACATGGGTACCTAAAGTAGTTATCAGGATCACAGAGTTTGCTTTGTAAATTTTGCTTTGGCCCAGTTCTGACCAGCACATTTCCAGAAGAAGTTCATACAAAGTTAAAATTAGTATCTCATTTATTGTTATGAATTTTACCTTCAGTTGTAGATAGATATATTGAGTTAGAGACATGGGGGTGCTTTGGTATAATGCTAGCACTTTGTATCACAACTAGCGGAAACTTTTGCTGTAGGGATTACATGGATTTAACCCTTCATTGGAAATAGTTTTGGGGCCAAGTTGTAGGATTGTAGGCACTAGAGAAATTAAATTTCACTTGACTGGGTATTGAAATTTTCTAATAGTAGAAAATACCGAAAAAATCACGATTGTATGTTTGTGGAATGAAGTTGTTATTGCTAATGTTTGCCTGTGTTGGCATACTTGTTAGTATCATTCTATCAGGCTGGTGATGAACTGCAAACTTCCAAAGAGAATGTTGATATTACATTTATTCATATTGCCAAATATGTATGAACCATAGCTGTCAACTTTTCCCTTTTCTTGCAAGGAATCCTATTCGGAATAAGGGAATTGCCTTTTAAAAAAGGCAAAAGTTGACAGCTATGGTATGAACACTGTGAGTGAAGCTTTTTAAATGTACAGTTAGTGATTATATACTACATAGGTTTTTATATGAGGGATCATGGTACAGAAACATTACTAGTGCAAAAACAGAACATTCTTTGCCATGGAACCCCAGTTTTCCCCACTTCCAAAGATGGGATAGAAGATCATGCAAATTAATATGTATAAATGCGGTAATGTATGCTAAGAGTAAATGTTTTAAGGCAAAATGCCCAGAAGTTATAAGGAAGATGCATGTAACCATGCAGGTTGGGACTGCCATCCCTTAACCTTGGAGCTTTTGCAGATATCTTAACAAATCAATAGCTGTAACAGTTTTCCCCCCTTGAAGAATCTTTGCCTGATAATGCATTTGGGCCCTGGTGCAAAATTCTTTGTATTTGGATTTGCAGGAACTTGCTGCTTCGTTTATAATCATTTTGGTAGGCATATTGAGATTAAAACAAACATTCTATGAAATGTCTTCTGCTCTGTATTTTTCTCTAGTTCTTTTTCTTTGTATATGCCCATGAGTGTGTGCTACCCATTGGGTTGTGCTGTCCTAGCATGGGATGTGGAAGTTATTTTTTTGGAGCTCTGTATTGGCTATGTAGAGTAGGAAAAATATGTACACAAAGCCATCAACATATGAATATGTTATTAACTAAGTTGAGGTGGCTTGAGACAGTTTTAGGATACATAAATGAGCTATTTTAAGTGTATGCTCCAAATGTGTTTTTCTTCATGTAGAACTGAATGATTTCATCATCCAACTTGATGAGGAAGTAGAAGGTATGCAGAGTACCATTCTAGTCCTACAGCAACAATTGAAGGAGACTCGCCAGCAGTTGGTTCAGTATCAGCAGCAGCAGCAGCAGCAGCAGCAGCAGTCACAAACCTCAGCCCCAGGTAGCAGCCGGACTCCAACTTCAGAAACTGCAGACCAGGGAGAAGCCATGAGCAAAGACTGCAGTCGTATGGCAAATGGACCAAGCAATGGCAGCTCGTCTCATCAGAGGACAGCTGGGCCTGGTTTTTATAGAGAGGGCAGTGGAACAGAGGATGACTTTCCACCCTCACCAAGCAATGGTAATAAGCTTTCCAACCACTCTGAAGATAGAACTGGCAGAGGATCTGGTAGCTATATAAATCAACTCAGTACTGGGTACGAAAGTGTAGACTCTCCCACTGGTAGTGAGAATTCTCTAACTCACCATTCAAATGACACAGACTCCAATCACGATTCTCAAGAGGAGAAAACAGTCAGTGTGAAAGGTAACAGAACTGCGGGGTCTCGTCATGTTCAGAATGGTTTGGACTCAAATGTCAATGTACAGGGTTCAGTTTTGTAACCTTTTTTTCTGCAACATTTTTATATAGTGTCGTTTAAATTGGGAGAAGAAACTGTCCAGAACTGTTCAGATTAGTGCATATATGTCACAATTCTGCCTTTGTGGGTTTTTTGCTTCGATACCTCTGCCACTTCTGAAATTTTAACAATTACATTGAATGTTGCTAAAAGGATGTTTGTGTAGGCTCAAGATATTTTTGAGTTAATGTGAAGTTGAAACGAATTTTATTTCCAGGTATAACACAATGATGTCTGTACAAATCTGTGTATATCTAGAACTTGTGCTGCGTAAGGGCATTCTTTACTCATACTGTTATAACACTCAAATTGTAATAATAGTTGTGAGGTAATGACTGCCAAGTTTGCCCAGTACAGTAGTTTTATAACTAAAATGAACTTGGTGAAGGAGTCCTGTAGTAGTCTGTGTTCCAGTTTTGCCACCATGCATCTGTGCGTTCTCTTTAGGTGACCGAATGTTTAAGAATTTTGTGTGCATAGTTACTCGGTTTAAGAACTGTTGTATCCTGTTAATGCATATTGCTCTGTGACTCCAATATTATCTTAACTGTACTGACCAAACCTAAATAAAGATTTTTAATAATGTAATTTATTTAGTCCTTCTGTGTTTGTCTTGTGCAGACTTGTTGGGCTTTTCTTTACTTCAGTTTATATAGAACCCTGCATTATAATATGCAGTCTTCATTGTAATAGGTAAAAGCATGTACTTGAAAGTCATTTAAGCTTTATGGTGCTCTTATCAGTATGCAGTAGGTGGCCCATTTCTCATAGTGAATGTACAGCTCTTGCCACTGAAACTTTTTTAAAAAAATGCAACTGGTACATTTTGCTGTGGTCATGAAGTATTGACAAAAAATATAGTTGCCTCAGGAATGTGCTTAAATGAAGTGACTGGAAATTTTCCATAGTGGAAATCCATAGGTGTGCTTATCATGGGATACGGAGGACATCTAAGCACACATTTTCTGTGGGAGAATTGGAATTCTGAATTGCTGGTTTAAACATCAACCATCCTCTTTAAGTGCATTTAACTAGAATGGATATGTCAAACACTGTCATAGTACAATTTTTGCTATGCTTTGTGAAAATGATTGGGAGAGGTAGGATTTTGTTTCCAAGGTGCCTCACATCTACATGTCAAACTCCTTTATGCTTCAATCTGACACAGTACCAAAGCAAAAACTCTGAAACCCTAGTGCAATCTTCCATACATTGGCATGCAATTACATATGGCTTTTCCAGACCTCGTTTCATGATTTGTGTGTTGCAGAAGCATTTAACTTAAACCCTTTCAAAAGCCACCTTCAGTGGATGACACTGGATTCTGATATTATGAAAAAGAAAACACCCTATCCACTTAGTCCACACCATTTATTATCTCTATACATGTTAATTCCACCCACCCCATGGCCTTTTTGCTAAGCTAAAAAGCTCCAAATGAAACTTTCCTTCCTATGTTGCTTCAATCCTCTTATTTCATTTGCCAATTAATGCATATTTTACAACCCTACCGTAAGCTTTTTGAAATGGAGTGATGAAAAGTACACAGTATTCAAAGTGTGGTTGCACAATAGGTTTGTATACAGTCACTGATACTTGGCAATGGTTATTTCAGTCAATTTGGTAACTACCAACAGTAGTTAGAGTGCCTGGCATTCAGAACCTTTGAGGAAGCAGTATCTTGAATTTCGTCTCAAGTTTAAACCTTTTGTATTATTTTAGTAGTAGGCTAACTCCTCTAAACTAAAAAAATTGTCCAGTAGCACCTTGTGGTTGTTTAGTCATTTAGTCGTGTCCGACTCTTCGTGACCCCATGGACCAGAGCACGCCAGGCACTTCTGTCTTCCAGTAGCACCTTAGAGACCAACTAAGTTTGTTCATGGTACAGTCATATCTTGGGTTGAAGTTGCTTCAGGTTGAGTGTTTTCGGGTTGCGCTCGAGGCGACCTGGAAGTAACGAAACACATTACTTCCAGGTTTTGCCGCTTGCGCATGCGCAGACAGTCAAAATGACATCATGCACAGAACCGGCAAATCGTGACACACACAGACGCGGGTTGCATTCGGCTCTGGAGTGGATCCCGTTCGTATCCAGAGGTACCACTATAAGCTTTCGTCTGCATGCACACTTCAGATCTGCAGACGAAAGCTTATACCAAGAACAAACTTAGTTGGTCTTAAGGTGCTACTGGACATTTTTTATATATATTTCCTCTAAACTAGCTAGTTCTTTTGTAATAGAAGTCCAGAATCATTAAGGTGGAACCAGCCTCTTCAGTATGAATCTGACTGACTACTTCTGATCACTTGTGTGATCAGAAATGGATATTCTTTCTCCAGTTGCTCACATATATTCTAAGGAAGGGGGTTGGCTTTTCCTGGCTATAAATTTGTCTCCGTGGAGCCATCCAACCAGATACAGTGTAAAGCTTTGCCCTTTCTCAAGGTCTCTTCCCTGCAAGGCACTCTGCATGTGCTCTTGAAATCAAAGCCTCCTCAACCAAGTACAACCTAACTAGCTAATGTAGTTTTGATTGTTTGAAAGTGTGATTTGTTGCCCAATCTTTTACTTACCCTACCCCGTTCTAAATACATTGACAACTTCATTAGTATAAAAAGGTATCTACACAGCCTAGTTTCTCTCCCCCCCCCAAGGTAGGATTGGCCTGTTGGCCTATCCAGATTCCTTTCTGAGAAACTATTAAAGGGGGTCTGCCAGTAGGGAAACCGCCCCCCCCCCCAGTCCTGATAAGTCAGTCCCATTGCCTGCCTAGCTTCTGGTATATTTTAAAATGTGCTTATTGTTGGACTTAAGTCTTTAAAGGGAGGTGTCACTCATATCTCTCTTCTGCATCCCCCATTGTCTGCTTCCATTTCTTTATCAAAGCTCTGTGTTCTCAGTTGGGCAACACTTTTCTTTTCTGAAGAAAGCCGCCTTCTAAAAGCTTCTTGACTTGGGTTAACCATGCTGGCATCCTCTTGGCCTTGGTGGTGCCTTTCCTGATGTGTGCTATACCAGCTAGGCTTAGTGTGCTTTTGAACAGCTCCCAAGCTGCCTGGAGAGATTTGACCTTCTTGTGACTTTCAGCTTCCTTTTTACCAATCTTTGTGGAAAGTTTCCTCTTGAAATCAAATGGGATTGCATTGGACTTGCTTGGCAGTTGTCCATTTTTATACGTAGAAATTGAGAGCACTGGTTCAGTTTCCAAATGATTTAAGAACATACCTTGCACCAGGTCTTGGGTGACACTTTAAGTCCAGAGTCACTTCACCTGTTTGGTTCCATGACCAACTGTTCTAGGTCACAGTCCTTAGGGTATCTAGAATCTACCTCGTTGTGACCAGAACAACATACTAGATTTATGTGAGAGTTGTTGCCCATTAGCACACTGCCAACGTTGGGTGCCTGCTTGATTTTACACTCTCTCCACCATAATCACCCAAGACAATTTGGTCAGGATGGCAATAATACTTGATATTCTCACCTAAAGTGATTTTGTGAGGGGAGTCTGCCTTGTCTGAGATTTATAATTTGTTGTGACCCTATGGCCACCTTGACATACAGTGACACCATTCAGTATGCTCTTCCTTGCTAAATTTGTATTCAGATAATCGTATCCCACTGGTTCGTCTCCTATCCTTCCTGTTTCTGTTACGCACATTGCACACCATGTTCTAATTTACCATTCTATACTCTCAACTCCGCCATCTTGGCTTCTCATATTGGCATACCTGTAGAAGGCATCTGTCTGGCACATGCATTTTCCCCTATGGCTCTTCAGCTATTATGTTCTACAATCTGCCTTGTTTTGCCCTATCAGTGCATGGGCTATCAAGTATATTTTAAAACTCATTAATTCCAAAGTGGATGGTCTCTTGCTGTCTTTCTCCCCAGAGGTCAGTGTAAAAGCTCTACAGCATCAGGGTGAAATTGGGTTCCTCCAAGTTATTTTTCTGGGTTATTCTCTTTTCCTTGGATAGTATTTCCCAAAGAACTCTAGAATGACTCACTAGGATTTCCCCCCTAAAATCTTGAGGTTGTAAGTTCTATATGGATGCATGGGTGTAGCCAGGATTTTTGTCAGGGGGGCAGAGCCTCAGCTATATATTGTATTGATTTTTATTGATGGGGCAGCTGCCCCTCCCTGCTGCCCTTGGCTAGGTCCATGTATGGATGTTCCCACCAGTCCTTTTTCTGGAGGATAAGGGACCCTCTCTCAGACTGTATCTTGTGGTTGGACACCTGCCTACTATTTAAAATAGATCAGTAATCCTGTTTGTCATTCTCCATTAGTACATTTAGTTCAAATTCTGCATTTAAAAAACCAGCCATTAATAAGTTACAAAAGGTAAACCATTGCATTTTCTGCCAGCCAGCGATGAAGAATTGACTGCGACAAGTATTAGAGGTGTTTTTCATGGCGTGTCCTTATGTAGTTTGTATTCTTATAAGCGATATTATTAGCCGCTGGGTGCTGTGCAAGGAGTAGGAGCCCCTAAAGGGGGGGGAGGTGTCCTTAGGGAGAAGCAGCCCTGGAGGCCACTATGGGACAGGCAAGAGTTCCAGTACAGAGGCGAATTGGGGATAGAAATACTACCACCACCTTGGTTTCTGACATTAACCGAGTCAGCTCTTGTCAGCTATTTGACAAGAGACTGTGGAGACATGTCAATCGTGAGCAGACCACTTCTCTACGGCCCAAGTACTGGTTTTAAATGTGCAGTAAGAGAATTCAATTTTTGCATGGAGATGCATTCTGCTTTGGTTTCGCAACATCCAAAGGCGCTTTTATGGAAAGTCCCGCGCTGCTCCTAATGGAAGAGGCCCGCCGCAGCGCCGTCGCTCGCAAGCCTGTCCGAAGAAGGCAGGCTCTCCCGGCGGCCCCCTTAGGAGCCAAGGCCAGAGCTGCGCAGCAGACGCAGCCTTGTCGCGAAGGCCGCTTTATTTCATAGCCCGCCGAGGCCATGTTGCCCTTGCCTCGCCCGCGTCAACGCCTCGGCCCGCCGCTTCTTCATTATTGGCGGGCGGAGAGGCGTCTCCCCGCCCCAGGCAGCGGCAGCCGGGAGAGGAGGAGCCGCGCAGGCGTTTCGCGGAACGAGGCCGCCAGACGGCGAGGCGAGCGGGGCTACTGGGGCGCAGAGCGCGGCCGTGTCCTTTGGCGCTTCTCCTGCTGCTCCTGCTCCAAGCGGCGCCTCCATGATGCTGCTCTGCCGGCTGGTTTCCCCGGGCGGCTGCAGGTGAGAGTCCGGCGGCGGGGTCGCTCGGAAGCCCTTGAGCTGCCTCTGGCCAAGGGCACGGCGTGGTGGGCCCTCTCGGGGCAAAGGAGAGGCGGAGCAGCGGGCGGGACAGAAGAGGGAGGTGAACAAGGGAAGGGCGAGACTTGGCGCCCTGGAGTCAGGGGAACGAGGGGGAAGCGGACCCCATTTCGAGCAAGGAATCTCATGCAGGAGTTCGCCCGCCAAATGCATAAAAGTGGGAGCCCCATAATATGCGCTTAATGTGGTGCTTGGTTGGCCTATTATTGCACGAGGACTCGGGGAAACTCCCTTTCCAGCCGTGGAGCCTACAGGGCTGCTTGCTTTGGGCA